GGCCCACTGCCCAATTGAAACGTGTGGCGAGATCGATCGATCGTTACTAGGCGCGCAGAGAGTTGTAACGATCGATCGATCTCGCCGCACGTTTCAATTGGGCAGTGGGCCGGCCTAAGACAGCGATTTTTAATAATTAATAACTCGCTGACTTTTGCGAAAATTGCAAAATGGTAGAGGACTTTTCGACTTAGTCTAGTCCACTCTATCCCACAATAAGCGTTGATGCGGATATTACATAACACCCTGTATACGTATTAAAATTTCCGTTTAATATATTAATCGCAGAATAAGACCTTGTTATATAAGCAGAATTAAATTTTCATTTCTAATGTTGAATAATTCAAGTTGGAACTTTCTTTAAATTTTAACCAAAGAGTTATTGATTCAAGATCCAAAAAATCTTAGTTTTTTTTCTCTTCAAATGTAATATATTTATAATTTTTGATATGTAAAACAGTTTAAAAGTGAAATATGTCTCGTAGTTCACCTAACTTTGTTTCTTCTTGAGCGAGACAGGTGACTAATCAGTAATTTGCGACATATTAAAGACTAAGTGTCTCAATAACAGCATGAAAATTTATTCAAGTATTACCGACGAACGCAAGTACCGTGGCTACTGTGCGCATAAATATGTAAATCCGATTGATTAATTAACATTCGGCGCGTTATCTCCAATTACCACGTAAAAAAGTAAAGAACCAGATTTATATAAAACCCGACTGCTCTCTAACGTTTCTCAACTGGCCGGCCTCTCCTTGCTTGTCTGACACGATATTCTGTCGCGAAGTATTACGATGACGATTTAATATTGGTAAGCGATAACGAGCTACTCTCGAGCGATTAACATTCCAACGACTTTCGTTCCCGCATATTCGGCACTCACCTGGAGAGAGGGTCGACGAAGAGAGCGACGATAATCACCGCGATGATGACGCACGTGAGGTAGATCGCGGAGATCTCGTAGATTTCCGACTCCGGCGGTCGCTCCAGGTTCTCGTGGCCTCCGTTGCCAAGGACGCAGAAATCCGCGCCGCACAGCTTGATTTTGTCCCAGCTGTCGATTGTGGTGGTGTTGTTGCCGTTGTCGGCGTGCCCACTGTCGCTCAATACTGCAATTTGAAAGTGATCTCTTATTCGCGAGCGGTCTCTCCTCGAACGCGTTCGCGCTTTCTCTGTGAGATTCCTTCGAATTTACCTCGAAAAGGAAACAGCGCTCGAGGAAGCTTGTGCGAGAGCCCGTTTTTTATTTTATAAAGATTCACATTCATTTATATTTATTATTGCTAATAAAGAGCTTAATTTCTCTTTCGATAGAATGTCCTCTTATAGTAAGTTTTTTACAATTTATAAACGGAAAATTAAATTTGTTCCGGAAAAAGTTTGCGGGTGAAAATTAAAGAGCATTATTATGATTGCTTATGCAATGAATTCGTTTTCACTATTTGGCATTAAATAATTTGAAAACCTGTGAAACATCTATTGTAAAATTCATATACGTATGTATATAAATGTATTTTAACGCATTCAAGATATGAACTACGTAGAAGCAGCTTTTCTTCGTACTGGAAAAAAAAGGTTTTTTTTTAAACTTTGCTTCTTTTTGAAAATGCGTTTGGTAGAAGAAAAGAGTCAATGTAACTTGCGCGAACAATTCGAAAATAACTATACTGTTCTTCACATTTCGCAACGGTGAAGCTATTTTCATGTTAAGTTTCGAGAAAATTATCGTAGATATATTGTGATATTTATGACTCAAAAATATGCATGTAAATCACTTAACAAGTGCGCTTTTTTTACTAAATACACGATTGTTAATAAAGAAAAAATTACGTAGCATTTTTGAGCGACATTAATGAACTATTAGCAATGAATTAACCACCGCACGTTCCGCAGTAATTGTAGAACGAGTGTAAGAAAATCTGAGTTTCTTCTTGCAAACGTAAATTTCTACGGGATGCGTTTTATCACCGTCACACACGTACATCACGGTCGAGAAATATAAAATCGGTAGGAGGAATAACGACGCGAGAGATCTGCCTGGCAACCGCGTGTACTTGGACAAGCGGGGAATACGCGTAACGATTTATTACCAAGTCGATTATGCCGGTTGGAAGCGGGTGCTCGAAGAATCGCGCGGTGAATGTATGTACGCGAAGCAGCAAGAGGTCAAGTCTGTTACGCCGTACCGGAAACCAGCGTGCCGAGAGTACGTCCCTTCTTGTTCTTATATACATGGCGTCTGTCTTCTTTTGAAGAATAATACGGCCAGAAACAAACGCGGGTAATTCTTCAGTTCAGCTACAGCACCTCAACAATCAATGAAATTAGTCTCAATCGACTAAATTAATTGCTCGCTTCGCGGGGCAGAGCGACACTTTTTTTCTGCCAGATTCTTTTGTTCCGCGTAAAAACGCGCCGAGACTAGTTTTATTGATTTTTTAGGTGTTGTAGCTAAACTGAAGAAATACCCAAACGCGAACGAAAGGGGGATGTTCTAGAACCAAAAGTCACGGATGGATTTAGGAGTATGGGAACCAAGAATACACGAGCGTCAGAACGAGGGAAAATGAAGGAAGGACCGAGCTCGTCTCGATTGTGACCCAGCGAGAAATGACGCGTCGATCGATGTCGAACCCTAGTAGCACAGTGCATGGACCAAACATTGGTTAAACACTGGTCCAATGTTTGGTTGGCTTGGGCCAATGTTTAATCAATGTTTGGTCCATGCACTGTGCTACTAGGGTTCGAAATCAATTTGAAGGTGTCGATATCGATTCGACATCGCTTCGACATCGATCGACGAGTCATTTCTCACTGAGAAGAGATAGACAAGGCGCGACACGCGAAGCTGGGAGACTCCGTAAATGAACATTTCATGGGTGAGTTTGACTGTCGACGGGGCGATCTTTCCCAATCGATCTCGCGGACTCGCGGCTTGCGCGCATTTTACGCACGCTACGCCTCGCCTTTCCACGATCGAAAACATCGATTATGCGCGTCGGCTCGTCCCGATGGAGGTGACGGCGGACATCGAGGTCACGGTTGCACCCACACGGTTGGGATCCGTCGCGTAATTCTGTACCTTTATTCACGGCGCGTGAGGCCGGGGAAGACCTTTGTCGAATGTAAATCACAATTGGTTGCCTCTCACGGGGATGCAAGAGACATCGCAACACTAGCGTGTTCCGATTGCTTTATTGTCGCCATTAGTGATGCTGGAGTCTCTCTGTTTTACCGACATTTTTTAATTAAGGATATCTTTTAATTGGCTTTACAGAATTGCAAATTCTTGTACAC